GACCCAAATATTTCAAATTCAGCTTTAAAGCATGCGTCGGTCAAGTGAGTGTTTAAGACTCTGGCACCGAATTAACTCAGTAACCAAATTAAGCAGGAAGCAGCACTCTTGTGAGGATATTTGTCATTCATATGGAGCCAGTAAGTGTAAAATGGCCTTTTGCTTACGCATGCGCCCCATTTACGAACACATCAAATTTCAAAATGCAACGTTGCCGTCATCCTACTTTCTCGGCATTTAGGGAGTCCGGGAAACCGAAATTCTGCAAAAATACTGCCCGATTTTGCGAGGTACAAATAACATAACAGCAATTTCTGGTACAGCTTGTTATCTAGAACACGGTACTCGCAGTGTTTTTATAGCTTTCAACAACACGACCAAAAAAAAACACATGAAGAAATGCTCGAATGAACAGATATCGTGATGACCAATATCGTGATGAGAAATCGAGAAGACTAAAAGTGGGTACAGTTAAGGATTAAGGGCCGACGAGCCTGAAACTGTCTACAAAAAAGCAAGGCTTACCTTACGCGAACGCTTTTAACTTTCCGATAGAATTCGACCAATGCTCTCCGCTGTTCTTTGCTGTCCAGCTTTTCGTCTACAGTTTCTACGTCCACATACTGCAAATCTTCGTCATCCTCATCATTTTCTTTTTTGTTAATCATATTGTTGTAGTCCTTGCTCACATCACCACTGCTTCTGATGCCTTTATCATTGCACAATTTTTTAATCCTACTGGCCGGATGTGGTTGCTGTTCCACACTCTCTTCAGGCGACAGCACGTTCGACTCACCTTAAAACAAAATTCGAAAATGTCCCATTAAAATTAGCAAAAGATTTGACCAGAATAAAACTTGAACAGTGCGAGCAGCGCAAAAGTCCCATTTATTCTAAAATTTCAAATGATGTAGTAAACTTTGTAAGCAACCATTTCAAAACAGCATCGCATCTCGCGGGTGCTAAATCAAAGTAATCTCTACAAAGCACTACCAACACCAAACGGGATTTGTTTTTGGGCTCGTCCGCTGCCAGTAATGGACTAAAAAGCTGGGAAGAGTAAACTGACGGTGGAGAAAATACAAGGCCGGAACGAAAGGGGGAGAAAGATTAATCAAAGGAGGACATATTTTTTGGACTTTGTTTACGATTAACGTTTTTCATACGTTTTGTGCTGTGCAACAGTTACACAACACGCACACTGTCGAGGCCTCGTCTGTATGTGTGCGTTGTGTGTCTGCATGTACGCTCCGAACGCATTTTACCGGCGAGTTTCAGTCCGGGACCAGAATAGTTAAGAAGTCGAAATTTTAGTAGAATATTGCTCGCTCAAATGCGGTTCGGCAAACCTTTAGTCTTCACGTATCCCCCGATACCACGTACAACCTCGAGAAAGTTCTGGCGGGAGGATTATTATCTCAGGAACTACGAAAATTGGGAAGCCGAAATGTTAAGGTAATGTTCCCTGTCCCACTAAAAACCCAGCAGATTTAAACTAAGCCCTTCCATGCACCCAGATATCACATACGGCCCCTGGAATGTTTTGGTTAAGAAAACTACTATCTAGAGAACCATGAAAGCTTCGAGGCTAAAATTTTAGGAGAATGGCCCTTACTTACGTACGAACCGTCACTTTAAATTTAGCCTTTCCGTTCGCTTGGGCACTGCGCATGTCCCCGTGGAAGTTTCGGCGGATTAAATTACTATCTCGAGAGCCACAAAAGTCAGGAGGTTGAAATTTTGAGGTAATGTTCCCTGCCCGTGCACAACCCGAAAATTTGAATTCAGGTTTCGCTTAAGTCGGGGCTTCACGTGCGGTCCCGTGAACGTTTTGGTGGAAAAAACTATTGTCTTGGGAGCGAAAACAGCTGGGAGGCTGAACACTTCAGAAGGGTGTTTTTTACTTATGCAGGTGCTTAACAAACTCAGACTTAGCTCCCGAGCATGACGATTTTTTACATACGACCATATGAAAATCCTGGCGCGAAAGTTGTTCAAATCACGAAAAACTGTGAGGTGGAAATTTTGAAATAATGTTTGCCGACCAAAGTTCCCAAAGTCAGCTTTTACATATGTTTGCGTTTCACTTATGGTACGTGAAATTTTCAGTGGGAAATTTCGCAGCTTAGGAACGATAGCATATCAACTTTTTTTTCATAGGCCAAAGTTTTATACTTTGAAAACAGTGAAAATGCTTAACAGGCAAACGTCCGCTGGACGGAACTCCACCTGGCGCGTACCACTATTTATTATGCGTTTTTCGCAGCTATGCAATGCGAAAAACGCATATTGACGAGAGGTTGTGTGTGTGTGTCTGTGTGTGTGTGTGTGTGTTAGTGTGTGTCTGTGTGTGCGTTGCGCGTCTATACCGATTTTTCATCTCGAGACCCACAAAAGCCACGGGACTGAAACTTTGGGGAATTAATCTACATAACGTACGGGGGCCCCTATCCCCAAAATGGGCGGTCTTTCCCGCGTGGTACCACGTAAGAGCCCGCCAAAGTTTTTTACGGGTAAGCTGCTAACTCGCGAACCAAAAAAGCTAGAGAGCTGGAATTTTATGGGAATGTTCCCCGTCCAAGCGAGCCCAAACCAACCCCCAGGCAATCGTGGTACCCGCGTACGAGCCCGCCAAAATTTTTCCACGTAATTTCATAACTCGGGGATCTGATATGCTAGAAAGCTGAAATTTTAAGGGAATATTCCCCGTCCAAGTAGGCGCTAATGAACTCAAACTCAACCCCGGGGTAAGCGTGGTACCCCCGTACGAACCGCCCAAAATTTTTCCCGCGCAAATTCATAACTCGGGGTTCTGAGATGCTAGAAAGCTGAAATTTTACGGGAATGTTTCCCTTCCAAGCAGGTGCTAATGAGTTCAAATCCAGCCCCCCGGAAAGCGTGGTACCCGCGTGCGGGCCCCCCAAAATTTTTCCCGCGTAAATTCATAACTCGGGGTTCTGAGATGTTAGAAGGCTGAAATTTTAGGAGAATGTTCCCCGTCCAAGCTGGTTCTAATGAGCTCAAATCCGGCCTCCGGGTAAGCGTGGTACCCGCGTATGAGCCCGCGAAAATTTTTTTCGTGTAAGTTCATAACTCGGGAATCTGAGGAGCTAGAAGGCTGAAATCTTGGGGGAGTGTTCCCCGCCCAATTGGGTATTAGTGGGCTCAAACCCAGCCCCCGGGTAAGCGTGGTACCCACATACGGGCCCGCCAAGATTTTTTTCCTGTAAATTGATAACTCAAGTACCTGGGAAACTAAAGGAATGCAATTTTAACTAAAGGATATACCCCGTTCACCTATGTTTCATTCAGCTCGAACCCTG